TTGCAAGCAGACAACATAGCTTAAGATGTGAATAGTAACTTGATCAGGTTATTGAAGAGGGGGATATTTTCTTGGGTCTGATGGTCTTACTATTGTGTTAATCTTTTTTTTCCCCCCTAATATTTATTTATTTATTTATTTGGCTGTGTTGGGTCTTAGTTGTGGCACGCGAATCTTTTTTTTTTTTTTTTTTTTTTGCGGTACGCGGGCCTCTCACTGCTGTGGTCTCTCCCATTGCGGAGCACAGGCTCCGGACGCGCAGGCTCAGCGGCCATGGCTCACGGGCCCAGCCGCTCCGCGGCATGTGGGATCCTCCCGGACCGGGGCACGAACCCGTGTCCCCCGCATCGGCAGGCGGACTCTCAACCACTGCACCACCAGGGAAGCCCACACGCGAAACTTCATTGCAGCATGTGGGATCTTTTTAGTTGCGGCATGCAAACTCTTAGTGTGCGGCATGTGGGATGTAGTTCCCTGACCAGGGATCAAACCCAGGCCCCTTGCATTGGGAGTGTGGAGTCTTAGCCACTGGACCACCAGGGAAGTCCCTATTGTGTTAATCTTTAAAACTTTTTTTTTAAAATCAAAGCAGTATGTGTGCACATTTATATATTAAAAAAAAAAAAATCAATGGTGCTGAAGAGCTTATTGCAAAAGGTAAGGATGCCCCGCTGCGACATCCCAGCCCTACCCCACCCTTTGCCTTCCACCCAACTTGGGAAGCAACCAAGTTTAACTTTTCAACAGCTACAGTTCTTTAATTCTTTTGGGTGGTTACTTCCCTATCCCTCAAATAATACAGTCATATTGCCACTTCTTTGTTTATCAGACAGACTTTCTGTAGACTTCCTTCCCATTCTGATACATGAGTACTTAGTTCACTTAGACCCTCCCCCCTCTCAGTATGAATGTCTCACTATTTTTAAGTCCTCTATTGTAATTTTAGGTAATGCACTTTAGTTCCTCTTTGTAATTTTCTTACTATATGCCCTTTTGTTTCTTGTTCCATTAACTATGACCTGTATCTCTCAACTCCCCACTTTGTATAGGGTCCCCTCCCGTTCCACTTCCAAAATGCTCTCACTGCTGTCTTCTGTAAGATTTCAATGCAAAGGTACCAGCACAACGGAATAGGGAGTTCAGCAGTAACTTCCCTGGTGGTCCAGTGGTTAAGACTTGGTGACTTCACTGCCATGCGCCCAGGTTCAATCCCCTGGTTGGGGAACTAAGATCCCACAAGCCGAGTGGCCAAAAAAAAAAAAAAAAAAGAAGAAGTTCAAACAACATAAAAAAAATTGTGAAATAGTTTGTGCACACAGACAATAATAGAGACTAGTATAGGAACACATATACATCCACCACTTGGTTTTATCAAATCTTAACCTTATAACATATTTGCTCCCCTTAAAAAAAAGCATTGCCAATCCATTAAGGGCCTGTATACTAAGGACTGACTCTATTTCTCTTTGTCAGTGTTTATCATTACAACAAAACATCTCTCCTTAATTCAGTGTTTACCATTCTAATACATGATTTTATATTTCTGATGCATACGTTGGCATCCCTATACATATAATATAAGCATATTTACATATATTCATATATATTATATATCTATGTATTATATATCAGTGATGACATTTTTAAAGCAAAAAAAATGCTGGGAGGGCTTCCCTGGTGGCGCAGTGGTTAAGAAACCACCTTCCAGTGCAGGGGACACAGGTTCGATTCCTGGTCCGAGAAGATCCCACATGCCGCGGAGCAACTAAGCCCATGCAGCACAACTACTGAGCCTGTGCTCTAGAGCCCGTGAGCCACAACTACTGAGCCCATGCACCACAACTACTGAAGCCCACGCACCTAGAGCCCGTGCTCTGCAACAAGAGAAGCCACTGCAATGAGACACCTGTGCACCACAATGAAGAGTAGCCCCCGCTTGCCGCAACTAGAGAAAGCCCGCACAGCAACGAAGACCCAACACAGCCAAAAATAAATAAATAAAATAAACTAAAAACAAAAAACTGCTGGGAACTGGGAAACACTAGCATTTTGAAATTCTCAGATTTGGGGGTAACTCGTACTGCAAAGCAAGCAAAATGTTGCAGGAGCATGACTCAAAAGGCACACAGTATACCACAAAATGGTAAAAAATAATAGCTTGGCGGCTTAAGAGGAACGACGGGATACACCAAAGCGAGAATCAGGAAGGTGATTTTTAATTTTGCACCAAGACTGGGCCATCCATGCAAAGAAATGAAGCGCTAAAGTTCAAGAGAACGTTTCCTAGCAGGGTCTCCTCACTACACTCCCAGGGCTGTAGGAAGGAGAGTAACAGGGAATGTGAGGCAAGGCTGATTCTTAAGGTGCTTAACAGTACAGCTCACACTTCACAGAAATGAAAATTAAGGAGGAAGGAATGGGGATCTGCACACTGACCCATTTTCAGCCTCTGTGGAAAAAAATCACCATTTATAGCTAGAATGTTCTATAACAGAAGGAGCGTAAATAACACTTAAACACTTGAACACATGCCAGAAAAGCAGAAGCAAGAGTCACAAAAGAAAGTACAAAGCTCAATGGCATGAAGACATAAATGGAAGGACATTCATTTTTCTTTATAGCTAATAGACTTTAAATTTTTACAAGCAATTTTTTAAAGTCACCCATAATTTCCCTACTGTATGGTAATTTTTGTTTCTTCATATTCCTTCCCAATTTTATCCCCCCCATACATGCACAGTATATATACAATGCTTAACTCATTTTAATCGTTGTATAATATACAATTCAAAATGCCACTTTCAAAATTTAGCATGGGGGCTCCCCTGGTGGCGCAGTGGTTGAGAATCTGCCTGCCAATGCAGGGGACACGGGTTCGAGTCCTGGTCTGGGAAGATCCCACATGCTGCGTAGCAACTAGGCCCGTGAGCCATGGCTGCTGAGCCTGCGCGTCTGGAGCCTGTGCTCCGCAACAAGAGAGGCCGCGAAAGTGAGACGCCCCGCGCACCGCGATGAAGAGTGGCCTCCGCTCGCCGCAGCTAGAGAAAGCCCTCGCACAGAAACGAAGACCCAACACAGCCAAAAATAAATAAATTAATTAATTAATTAAAAAAAAAATTAACATGTTTTCATCAACACACCATCAGTCATTAGACTTAAATTCTCAGTGTCTGCATCTGCTTCCTATTGTTTCCAGTTGCCTACTATTATAAATATGCTCTGACAAGCACAGTGGGTATTCTCAGCATAAATAGGGGAGGGGATGCTAAGAAAAACTAGAAAATGAACATTTTTTTAAAGAAAAAAGGTAAATGTGGAAGATTTAGAAGTTACCTTTAGGAGCCAGTCGATTCAGCAGAATTGGGTTCCTGTTCTTGTACATTAATTACGTATGTTTTAGCAGGTATACAGTTCTGCTCAGGGAGGATTTTTGATTTTTTAAATTTACAAATGCAGAAAAAACCATAGATGATACTAAAAAATATATAGGTACCCAGAATTAATCAATGTTCATTATATATATATATATATTTTTTTAAATTACAGGGATATTCCTAAAAAGTTGAAGTCTCTTTTGGACTCTTGTGCTGTCACACGGGTAGCCTCTTGACTGCAAGGAACAGTAAGGCAACTTAGTCCCAAAGCAGTTCACGTAAACGGTGATGAAGGACGGAGAGATGGGTGTGATCTATGCAGACAGACTACTCTTTAACGGGTGGCTGTTTCTAGCATAATTACAATAAGACTCCATGTTTGTATAATGCATTGTAGTTTGTAAAGTGCTTTTGTGGCCTACATAATAGAGGGATGTGAGGTGAGCTTCAACCAAGGCTGCCCTACTCCCCAGGAATGGACATAAAATGATGAAGTAGCAGTAGCTAGGGAGGACGCTTACAGGAACTGCACAGTAAGTAGAGTTTTGGGTTCAGTTAAGGAATCTTTACCAGGTTACATTACTTCAAGCTCTCTTCCTATGAAAACGTGAGCGGGAACAATCCCTTCTCCTCGGATCAGTGTGACTCAGCGACAGCTCAAGGACAGGCAGCTGTAGACAGGTTGAAACGGAAAACTCCAGCAAATAGTCTATTAACAGAAAATGCTCTTAAGGGCAATCAAGAGAGGAGTGCAGGGCATAGAGCGTCTCCTCACAATCAAGACGGCAACAAGCTCCAAAGTACAAACCTGTTGGGAAGTTGCAGACCCGCATGGAGCTTTGAAAGGAACAACCAGGGCTGCATAATAAGACCACACAATACTGGGCCTCTCCAGGTATTTCTTGTAAGGGATCCTGGGGCACGTTGCTGGGTTACAGGCTGCAGGATGCTGGCAAACTATATGACAAGCATGGTTAAGAAATTATGGAGCAGAAATAAAGATGGAAGCCTTCAAAAGGAAAAAAGGAAGGTATTGGGGGGATTAATGTCACAAGAGGTATGTATATAATGCATACTGAACCCAGTTTCAGCTTATTTAGAAGAAATCATCTATGTAGAAGAAGCACAGCTTCAAGCATGTTTTAATGCTTGAAATTCGCAAGAGAGGCAGGACCGAGAGTCACAAAAGAAAGCACAGTATTTATAATATATTCATGTCCATACATATATACACACAGACATGCACGCACGTATGCGTATATGCACATACACATTTGTGAAATAGAAATTTATGAATAAATTGAAAAGATTGTTAAGAAAAAAAAAAGAATTAGTACGGACCAGAAATGTCAATAACCTCCATAATTTATTTCATTTTCACAAAATAACTGCTGGCTAGAACCAACATGGAGATTCTAATTAGCATCAGTATTACTCCTTGTGTGAAGCCTTCTCTTAGCTCCCTTTCCTCCCATTAGAGCTGATGACTTCCCCTCTATGACTCAGAACACTTTTCATTTTGAGCCTTTTTTAGCATCAGTCACAATCATGACAGGTTGTATCATAGGTTTCATTTATTCTTCAAGTAGGCTTTGAAGGCCAGGATAAGGACCGTTTTCTACTCACCTTTATATCCTGGCGTCCAGTGCAGTGTTGGGCCAATGTATGTACTCTATGCATGCTTGTTGAACCTGAGCCACTGTCTATCACAGAGAGATCATTTGTCTTGTGGAAGCAAATTCTTCTGACCTTCCAGTCCAGTTCTCCCAGCTTGGTTCTCTCCTTGAGGCAAAGAAACAGCATCTATCAAGTTAAGTTCGTGGAGAGCTTCTGTTTGCTTTCTTCCAGAGGGGGATAAAGACCAAGACTTTTCCCCAGAGGCTAAGACACTAGTTCTTCGTATATGCTGTTAAAGGAAAAACGAAACAAAACAAAACAAAACAAAAACTGCTGGAGACCTAAGACTGCGTGCTGAGCGGTAAAGCAGGGAACTTGACCCAGACAGAGGAACAGGTCTAGGAGCTCCTCAGGGATGAGGTTTAGGAAAAGAGAAAGGAAGTAGATCTTTTAAAGCAAAATCACTCAAACTGTTTCTGCCCCATATTAGGAAAGCAAAATGTCTTGAGAGATGCTGGTTGGCTGGTGATATCTGCGTCTGCTGTTGTGTAATTATGGGGTTGGCTGGCCTAGTCTTCTTTGGGAATACGGTATGTATTGGGGCAATTTTGGGATTATGGTGTGTAGATACCTCATGACCTGCCTGATGGGGACTATGGCATCCACTGGGGTGTCAGCAGATGCCCTGGTTTCAGCAGGCTTGGTGGACTGGTCAGAGTTTAGCAATGCACAAAATTACCCTGGGGATTGAGGGTGGCCTTCCCATCTCTACTTCTGTCAAGAAGATCAAACCCCGGTCCTTGTCACGTAAACTGTGGGTGACTCCACTTTTCAACAGTCTTCCTTCTCTGAAGTAAGGAGTAGAATGAACATTCATTCAATGCCTACTGTATGGCAGGAACTCTACTGTACTTAGAAACTTTACAAATGGCATGAAGTGGATATCACCACTTTAAAGAGGATGCCACACAGCTATTAAGTGGTAAATCCAGAGTTCAAAGCCTGGTCTAGTCTGGCTCTAAAACTTTGCTCGATAGCCTCTGATGTCCTTCAACAGCATTAACAGGACACAGTGACTCTCACACTACCAGTGAATGACCTGGGCAGCTGGCTATGACACAGAGCCCCAGAGACCCACCCCAACCTGGACTTTAGTTTCTAGGTCTTAGAGGCCTTGTGTTACTTTGCTAAGTGAAAGACTAGAAATTTGGACCATCGAGAGAACTGACCACAGCATAAAATGCTCTCTAGTTAGAAGGAAAGAGAAAACAAAAACAAAAACTAAATGAAAACAGTGAAAGGCTGAGTATTTAGGGTATAAGAATCTAATTAACCATGTCTAATGTTTCATTGGTTTTTTTTTTTTTTTTTTTTGCGGTACGTGGGCCTCTCACTGCTGTGGCCTCCCCCGTTGTGGAGCACAGGCTCCGGACGCACAGGCTCAGTGGCCATGGCTCACGGGCCCAGCTGCTCCGTGGCATGTGGGATCCTCCCGGACCGGGGCACGAACCCGTGTCACCCACATCGGCAGGCGGACTCCCAACCACTGCACCACCAGGGAAGCCCTTTTATTGGTTTTGATGGTGGAAAAAAGCAGTATGTAAAAACACATGATATAGAAAATGCTCTTTATGATACAATTCACTAAAATTCAAATGAGACAATGCATCTGAAAGTGCTTTAAAAGCATAAAGTGCTATACAACTGTGAGGGATTACTTGTCCAAGAAAGCTTTTACAGGAGAAACTTGCAACATTGGTGTTTTTGCCTCTCCTCTAAGAACCAGAGCAGTTTTGAGAGTTGCTCTTCATTGAAGAAACAACTCATGCTTATTTCCTCAGCTTGGCAGGATCAGGTAGAGATCAATATTAGCCTTCAGGAGGGGAAACTCTCTAAGTCTATATAAGGCTCCACAATTGTACTCTGAACTGTGGCCAAGAAGATTGGTTAGCACTTTGTAAAGCATTTTTAGAAAAAAAATACATAGTGTGATAAAGCAGTATAATCTACAATAAATTAAACATTAATGGCATGCCTAGAGACTCTGTACAGTGAAATAATTTTACTAAAAAAAAAATCAATTTTTATTTGATGCCTTGTAAATATTCAACCTTTCATTTTAGTCCTTTCTGCCCTGTCAACCCCGCCCTCGACCCCTGCCCCTCAATCTCTTGTTCTTTCTTCTCTAGCCTTACATCTCTCATTGTACTTCGGAGAAATGGGATTTTACTACTCCCTTCTCCCAGAACTGTGCCTTCAGATTCTTCGAAGTGGCTGATCAAACACTTTCTCTCCGAGTCTGAGAGCACATGGCACCTTCTTCCTTTCTCCTTGTTCCCTATCCCTCTCCCCACTACCTTAGAACTTCAAGTTCCCACTACGATTTCAAATATAGAATATTTTGCTGTTCCTCCTACGAGGGAGCTTAAAATGCCTCTAATTACACCATTTCCCCTGTCTCTCTTCTCCTTTGCAATTTAGATGCAGCACAGCAGAATAGGCTGCCTGACTCCTCTCTGATCTGTCAGGTAGGTCATTTTGAAGGATTTCTGTCTTATGTGAGTCTTGCCTCAATAAGGGCCCAGCACCCCAGCTGTGTCTAAAAGAACTGCTTCACAGGCAAAGCCATAGGGCCACAGAGCTGCAGTCTCAAGAGGCTTTGCTGTTCAGCCAGTGCCAGGTTGCTCTTCAACTCTTGGTTGAAAAATAAATTTCAGTCTTATTTACCTAAAAAATTTCCTTCTATTTATAAGATTGCAAGTTCCTATTTCAATCTGGATGTGCCCACAGGTGAAAAGTAATATAATGGCTTAACTGCTTCCATTGGTCCAAAGTAGTCTTCTTTGAAGAGAATGGGGTCTGTGCAACTCTACTGGATAGTTCTTGGACATGCTCGAGTTTTTTGTGTTTTTTTTTAACATCTTTATTGGAGTATAATTGCTTCATCCTCAAGTTTGAGAACTACCTGAGAAGCTGTGGTTAAGAAAAGAACAACAAATATATGTGGGAGGACAGTATTTTGAACATTAACTGATGTTCCCCTCTTTCCTATCTGTTCTTTCCTGTTATCTCTACCCCTCCCTGCACCCTCAACCTTCAGGCTACTAATTATTTTGCCTTTATTGCTTTAAGAAAAGAATGAAAGGAAACAGAGAGCTGATTCCTGATATTTTTGCATTTCAAAATAGACTTCAAAATCATAAGTAGGGAAGAGTTTAAGAGTCTATTGAAAGCAAAAGATTAAGCTTTTGAAATATCAAAGCCAATGCCTTGAAAGGATTCAAGACTTTGTGTGCAGTGTGTCAGAGTCAGACTTTTCTGTTTCTTGAGACTAGCAAGGGTCTGGATCCAGGGGAGCCAGTGAGGAAGCTAGTGGTGAGTAGACTTAGGGGTTTCAGAGAAAGTGGTCTGTGAGGTATACATCCTGCCAGAGAGCAGAGAGGGACATGAGCCCCACAAGCTGAGGTAAAAGCAGTGAGATTCCAGAGTTCCCATCCCCTGCCAGCAAGGAAGGAATGACTGGGGAGAACCGGGGCAGCTGGGCCTGAGGCACCTCCCAGGCACAATTCTAGGGAAGTGGCGAGAAAAGAAAATCTTCCTTCTGTGTGTGTGTGTGTGTGTGTGTGTGTGTGTGTGTGCGCGCGCGCGCGCGCGCCTGGTCTCTGTATCCAGATTTCCCCTTTTATTATTTTTTTTATTTATTTTATTTTAATTAATTTATTTATTTTTGATGTACGTGGGCCTCTCACTGTTGTGGCCTCTCCCGCTGCGGAGCACAGGCTCCGGACGCGCAGGCTCAGCGGCCATGGCTCACGGGCCCAGCTGCTCCGTGGCATGTGGGAACTTCCCAGACTGGGGCACGAACCCGTGTCCCCGCATGGGCAGGTGGCCTCTCAACCACTGCGCCACCAGGGAAGTCCTCTATTTTTATTTTTTAAAAAATATTTATTTATTTAGCTACACCAAGTCTTAGCTGCAGCATGAAGGATCTTCGTTGTGTCCTACGGGATGTTCATTGCCACGTGTGGGATCTTTAGTTGTGACATGTGGGATCTTTCAGTTGTAGCATATGGGATCTTGAGCTGTGGCATGCGGGGTCTTTAGTTGTGGCATGTGGGGTCTTTTAGTTGCAGCATGCAGGATCTTTAGTTGTGGCATGTGGGATCTAGTTCCCTGACTAGGGATTGAACCTGGGCCCCCTGCATTGGGAGTGCAGAGTTTTAGCCACTGGGCCATCAGGGAAGTCCCCAGATTTCCCCTTTTAATAAGAACACCAGTTATATTGGATTAGTGCCCATCCTGATGGTCTCATTTTAGTTTAATTACCTTTGTAAAGACCTTATCTCCAAAAACAGTCACATTCTGAGGTACTGCGGGGTTAGGATGCTAACGTATCTTTTTGAAAAGGACATAATTCAACCCATAACAGGCCACTTACACAGATTAGCTCACTATCTCTTGCTGAACTCTTTTTTCCACTCCCACCGACCCATTTCTCTCCACCAAAGCCTTCTGGAAGAATCTGTAGTCAGGAAAACATCTGGTAATCTCATTTATACTGAGGCATGACTGGCCAAAATTGTCTTTGTCTATAAAGTACAATAGTCCAAAATGATATAAAGCAACAAAAAGAAATCGATAAAGTTTAGTATGTTGTCCCTCCTGGAAATATCTACATTTTAACAAATCACAAGGAATTATACTCATTCCTCTATAACACAACATATAACATATATGTTATATACTGGAACATAAATCGTAGCAGTGCTTGGGATAATGAGTAAAAACTTGCTAAGCAATACTTGGTTTTTATTATAATTCACATAAAAACTGCATTTTCTATTAATGGCAAAATAAGGTTGAATGCCATGTTGTTGATACAATGACACACACTCATAATTGCCAAGTGAAGATTATTGTAGATTTCTTCTTTAATGCTAATAAGAAATATAAACACTCCTAAAGGAACTGCAAACTTGGTAGCTACTGCTATTTCATAAATGGTTCAAAGGCTATGAAATTAGCAAGATATTTGAACCGCTCAAACCAACAATGGCTTTAAGTCCATCCCTTCCAAAATTGCACTTAGGAGCCATTTTTGCAGCCAATAAAAGCTTTAATTTTTTTTAACTCAAGAATGTGGGCTATGATAGCACAGCTATCATATTTAAAAAGCACTTAAACCAAACTGACACTAGGAACTAAAAAGTAAGATAGGAAAACTTGACTTTATATGTTGTACTCTAAAATACAGTCGATTCTCATTATTCGCAGTAGTTAAATTCTATAAAGTTGCTGTGAACACTGAATTAGCAAATACTGAATCACTGTTCCTATGGGGAATACAGGGTGAGGTTCCTGTGAGCCTCTGGTCACAACGTTTTTGTCAACTGAACCCATATCTTGTTCCATGTGTGTTTCTGTTTAAAGACACATTATTCAATGTATATTGTTGATTAACATTGAATTCACGGCCAACAACACTATAATTCGTGCCTGAAAGAAGCTTATCTAACACTTTATTTTCTCCGTAAGGCACATCTTAGCCGTCTTATGCTTAGGAGTGGGAGACAGCACTGCAGCACTCTCCTTGGGGGCCATTTTAAATACCAAAATCTCCACAGAAAGCACAAAAATGTGAAAAACATAGCATCAGATAGACCACAAAGAGGACACTTGTTTATAGTATGAGACCTGAAACAAGAAGGCCAAGTGGCACCTTGTCTGACCTCACCTGGGAATGTGTATAATCAGCAACTCAAATTTTTGGCCCCTCTGCTCATCTCTGGGAATGACGATGAAAATGCCATGGATATTGATTTTGGGGCTGTAGGTAAGTTTTTAGCAGGTAGGAGAATTCACAAGTACAAAGCCATGAATAATGAGGTACTCTGACCTGGCTTCCATTGCCCATAAACCAAATAAATAAATAAGGTCCTATTTGCCTAACAAAATAGGTTATTTACATTTAAAGTTGATATTTGTAATGTGAGGCCTCGTAGAGTGCTGGCTAAGTGTAATTAATGTCCGAGCCTTTCTACTGATTGTGAGAGTGACCTGGGGCATGCTGGATTTCTGTGGGCCTCAGCTTCTTGTTCACAAACTGATAGTCTTGGACTACAGATATATATACGTATATATATATATATGTATATATACATATATATATACGTATATACACATATATATACGTATATATATTTGTATTCATAGAAATACAGATATTTTAAAGCTATTTTTAGAACTCACACAGAAGAACACATATTTAAATGTGCTTAACATCAGGAAGATGTATAAAAAATAGTGTTCTGGACAGATGGAGGACAGGGATGTTATAGATGTTTTCTTTTTATGCCTTTTGGTTTTTGAACCATGAAAACATACTAGCTATTTAAAACATTAAGCAATAAAATTGAAGACGAAGAAAGAGAATAAGAATTAAACTTTAAGAAGAAAGAAGGAGGAGAAAAGAAAGAAGGAAGGAGGGATGTAGGGAGAAAAGAGAACTCCTGATAGGCATTTCATGTTCTGTATGGCAAGGGGTAGATATTACAAGCTCAGATTATACTATGACCATTAGGCCACAGGGTTTTATTTACATATCTTTTAATAAATCATGTGCTTATTAGGCATTTACTGAACACCAGGGACAGTGCTAGAATATTATTCTATTTAATTTTTTCCTTATGTCTGTGAAGTAGGTATTAAGTTGAATCATATGAAATTGTCAATACTCAATGATTTTTGACTTACAAAAATGTCAGTTTCATATGTTCAACCTAATGTTAACATCCCCATTTTAATGATGAGTAACCCAAGGTTCACAAACACTGAGTAACTGTCCAGTGGCACACACAGCTTGCAGAGAGACTCCTGATCTGAACCCAGATCTCCTGTTCCCACCGAGTAGCAGGTATACATTTCAGGCCACAAAAGTAAATGTACAAGAAATGTTTAACTTTCTTTATATATGTGTGACCTTAAATGCCACCAAATGGTAGAGATTTGACTGTAAAAACAAAAACAGAGATCGGATGATGCTTCTGCCAGCCCAAGAACACTGAAGATTGCCAGCAAGTCACCAGAAACTAGGAGAGAGGGCTGGAATGGATCCTTCCCTCAGAGCCCTCAGAAGGAAGCAACCTTGCCAACACCTTGATCTCAGACTTCTGGTCACCAGAACTGTGAGACATTTCTGTTGTTTAAGCCCCCTAGTTTGTGGTCCTTTGTTACAGCGGTGCCAGGAAGCTAACATACAGCCCATCACTGTTTGAAGAATAAAACTAGCCCTCCCCCCACCCCCTGTAGCTTCTAGTTCTGCTTCATTTCAACAAAACCAGAAAAGAATTTACTTAGAAGTGAGACACAATGAACTGAATCCTACCCAAGGTCATGAAACCACAGCTTCCACCTTTCCCAAAGCACAAAACTCTGATTTTGAAACCTGCCTTGAAGGATGGGTCACTCCAAGGCCATTTGGGCCACTGACAACTGTCCTGGACTCTTTCTTCCACACAACAAGTGTGACTGCTTTTGTGTCATGGAAAGATTAAATTAATGAGAGAGAGTTTCTGCGGGGAGAGCAGCAGAAGTCTCCATTGCCATTTGCCATTAACAGTGCTAAATGTATTTTGTTACCTATACTGGGTGCTGATTACATCTTGCTTTCTTTTGTGCAGGCAAATTTGCTTGGAATTAGTTTGGAGTCAGTGTGGGCATGGTCCTTCGTTCACTCTGTTCCATTCCCCATGGTTACTTTATTGATGGGAGATTATTAATGAAGATAAGAACGAAATGAATGTTCCTTTAAAAAAAATTAAATGACCTTGTTTCCATTTATATATTTCCAACAGCATGTTCATTAGCTATTTTGTATCTCTGCTGTGCATTTTGGGATGTGAGCCTCAAAATACCTGAGTTCTTCTGTGATGATGACCATCATTTGGTTCTTTGCCTAACAATTCCCCAAGTATTGTCTCTGGAGACCAGGCAGAAACCAGAGCCCAAGTGAGGTAGTTTGGTTGAGGGAACTTAATACGAGGAGCTGGTTACAAAGGTGTTGGACGGGCCAGAAAGCCAAACTGGGGAAGGAAGGGAACCTCAGTGAGAAGCAACAGCAGGAAGCCTTTACCCTCCATCCCTAGGGTTGGAGAGACCAACAGACTGGCTGGATTAACAGAGGCCTAGAGCCACCGTCCCCGGATGGACCTAGAATGAGAATCACAGAGAGGCAGTCACTGTGGGAGAAGCCCCCTGAATCAGAAAAGGAGGAAAATAACCTTGGCTTCTCTTCTTCTTCTGCAAGTGTTCCTAATTTATCTTATCTTTCATTGTCCTAATTCCTTTTTGGCATGGTCAAGTGAGTCTAGGAAATGCAGTTGGCAGGAATCAGCTTCCTTCCAAACAGACAGAATAAGAGAATGGCAAGGAATGAATGGATTTGAGAGCAAGTAGGCAAATGAGCAGCACATTAAGCCCCTAGTGCAGTATGTTATGTTGGGCTTTGGGTAGCAAATGGTCAAAGCAGGTCAGAG